CCTTCTGAACTTTGGGGAGAATTTGATAGGGTTGGATAAGGCTCTAAAGCATATCTTTTAATCCTCAAATGATCTATTAGCTCCCGACCAGAACAGCTGAAAGAAAGACTCTGAAAATGATTATTTTACTAGTAAATTTTTATATTTTATTTCTTCTTATCCAAAGAGAGTTTTTTAAGCTCTCAAGGGAAGGGAGAGAAGGTGGGCGAGTCATGACGAGGGTAATGAGACTCTCCTGCTCCAAATTATTCAGAACACTTTAGCCACCTGCTTTGCCCAGAATCGTCATGCTGGCAGAGACCAGTGGAGAACAAAGCAATGGTTTTTGGAGCAGTCTGGCACAGTGCGCCTTCTTCTCACCTCCCTACAGGGGTGCTCGTGTGTGTGTGTGTGCGCGCGCGTGTGTGTGCATATACTAGTGCCACACTGACACAGCTGTTACAATAAGCTCCATGTTTTCTTGTCTTAATCTCCAGGATTTTTTTCTCTCTAGTTCCAGGTAGGCTTTCATAACCTTTTCTTAAAGTAAAAATATATATATATAATCTGGAGATACAAATATTCACTTAAGTGATTTAGAAATACCTTTAAACAGTTTCACAGAAAAACCCTGAGAAAGAGAGGTTAAAAAGCTAGCTCAAATTTCTCTTTTAGAAAGAGAATCTTGATTTGGTTTTTTACAAGTTTTATGTATCTAGGAAGGAGAGAAGAAAAAGCCCTGGAGGGTGTGCTAGCTAGTAAATTGTGGCACAGGTCTAGGATTTGCCTGGTTCCACTTATGCACAACCCCCATTCCACTTCTTCGGAGGCTCCTGGTCGGCTAGAGGTGGACCTGGATCACCAGCAGCCTCAGGAGCCACTTCCTGTTCCTTTGTGTTTCACCTTATTTAGTGCAAAGAAAAAGGCCACAGCAACAATGTATGGGAGGTAAGGCTGAAGACGTCTTTCCAGCTTCTTCTTCAGTGTACCTGGACTTGTCAACATCTAGCTTTGCTATGGAAGAACAATTCATTGAGACTATTGCATCAAATAGTATTGAACGTTCATCAGTCACAATAATGATGATTAAGGCTCAATGTGAATGACAGCTGGCGGCTGTTGGTTTCCACTAGGTGTGACAGCAATCTGACAAAAACCTGAAACAGCCTTAGGGATAATGGTGGGACCAGAGTGTGGCATCTTCCAACTACATCCAGGGTGTTAAGTTTGGCTTTGAATGCCACACTGTGGAAGTGACAGGAACACATTTGAACATATTCAGAGGAGGGCAGTGAAAACTGGACAGGAAGTGCCCAGATACTGGAGGCACTGCCAATGCTTCATCTACAGGAAAGAGCCTGAAAAGGCACATTGACACCCAGAGTAGACTGGTTGTATGCTGTTTCAGGCAAAGACAAATGCATGTTAGAAATGAGCTCTATAGAAGGAATAATTTTTCTAACAACTACAAAATGGGCTACTGTAAAGGTAGTGAGCTCCCTAACATCAGAAATGCTCAAATATATGCACCAGATGACCTACATCACAGATTCTGTGATCTTCTGATTTACTAGAGTCTTGAAAGCTATACAACCATGTATAGCTGCCAGCTATGGTTGATGCCTCTTTCCTTTCCTCACAGTCTCTTCAACCCAATCTAAGCTGGCTTCCATTCCAGCAACCTCATGGAGATTGCTTCTGCCAAGGCCACCAGCAACTCTCGGTCACCAAACCCCAATCTTCTCTGTCTCTAACATATTTCACTTTTTCAGAAGCATTTAGCACAATGGCAACTCCTACTTTCTGGAAATAGATTCTCATGCTGGCTGCCATGACCTCATATTCACCCAGTGGTTTCCTTTCTACCTCACTGACATTCGGTTATATCAGTTTCCTCTGCTAATTATTCATCTTCTCCTCTACATCTGAATGTTGGCATGCCTCAGAGTTCCCCTTAGGATTCTCTGTTTGTATTGACTCTACGTGGTGGCTTTAAAACATGTGTGCAAACTCCTTGACACTCCTCTCATCCAGTGGTGAGATCTATGTCTTCTCCCCTTGAATTGGGGTGAACATAGTAATTCACTTGTAATCATTAGAATGCAGCAGGAGAGATAATTTGTAACACCAAGGGCTAGGTCATAAAAGACCATGAGGTGTCCACCTGGGTTCCTTGGGACATAGTCTTAGGAATCCTGAGCTTCCAGCACTGAGGTGGTCACAGTGAAAGAAAGCCCAAGCCTTTCAGGAGGCCATGTGTAGTGCTCCAGCTGAGGACTCCGGCATCATGGAGCAGAGACAAACCTTCCCTGTTGTGTTCTGCCAAATTTTTGGCCCACCATGAGCGTAGTAAAATGGTTGCTTTAGGTCACTAAATGTTGGGGTGGCTTGTTATGCAGCAACAGAACTGATACATTCCCTAAGGGGGCTCATGCTCTAGCATGACGTTAAATACTGCCCATAAAAGCGTGTGAGTTCCAAACCCACTTTCCAGCCCTGATCTCTTCCCTGAACTCCAGACTCTTAAATCCAATTATCCACATGTTTACTTGATCCCTCCATATGGGTATTTAGTAAGCATTATCTGAAATGCAATATGACAAAAACAGAAAGCTCAGGATTAACCTTTGTCCCTCGAGCTCGTTTCTTCTCTTTCCGCCATTTCTGTATACATCTAGTTTCTCAAGTCAAAACAGTTAGTCTTATTTCTGGCTTTTACCCCTAAAATCATTAAAGTATACCTAGAATCTGTCCCGTTCTCTTCATCTCATCTACTTCTGTCCTAATCCAAGTTATCATAATCTCTCTTCTCATCTACTGTCATATCCACTGAACTAGTTTTCCTTCTTTCACCCTGGCCCTCTAAAATTCCATTTTCTACACAGTAGCCTATATTAGTTATTTATTACTGTGTAGCAAATTACCCCCAAATGCAGTAACTCAAAACGATAATATTGATTATCTCACAGTTACCTTGGGTCAGAAGTCTGGGTACAGCTTATCTGGGTTCTCTGACAATGATCTCAAAGCTTGATTGGGAGGGAGCTGCCTCTTAGCTCACTCAGGTGATTGTTGGCAGGATTCAGTTTCATCAAGGGGCCCAGCTTCCTCATGGACTGTTGGCTGGAATCCTCCTGTGGTTCCCTTGTCAGGTGTGACTCTCCCTAAAGCTCCCATGGCAGTTGGCTCCATTAAGGTGAGGGAGAGGGAAAGAGAAGGAGGACTGGCAAGTCATAGCGTTTTGTAACCTAATCATGGAAGTGACAACCCATCACTATTGCCATGCTCTGTTAGAAGCAAGGCCCTCAGTCCGGCCCACTCTCAAGGGGAGGGGTTCATACAAGAGTGTGCATACCAGAAGGTGGGAATCACTGAGGGCCATGTCAGAAGCTGCTTACCACATGGCCCTAGCGTGATCTTTTAAAATCATAAATTACCCCTCCTTAAATCATATCACAGCCTTCCTTAAAACTTCCAATAGCTTTTGCTACATTTTAGAATGAAATCCAGTATCTCGTTGCTTTGCAGAGCCCCACGTGTCTAGCCTGCTTGTCTCACCTCTAATGTCACGAGCTTTATTTCATCAAATTCACTCCAGCTTTCCTGTTTTTCTTTCTGTTCCTTGAATTCTCCAAGTATGCTCCTTCCTTGGGGCTGTACATTAGGTGTTCCACCTCTTGGATCACTTTCCCCTGTTTATGTAGAGATGGCTGGGTTTTCTGATACAGGTCTCCATTTCAATGTCACTTCCTCAGAGAGACATCCCTGGCTGCTCAGCTTAAGGTGCATCTCTAGCCTCTATCACATTAACCTCTTTCATTCTCTGCATTGCTCTTACTCCTATTTATGTTATTCTTATTTCTGTATTCATTAATTTACTTGCCATTAGTCTCTTTCCTCCCTTCTCTCCCACAAGTAAAATGAATTTAATGGGTTCACCAGTTCCAACGTTGGCTCACTCACTCTACACCTTTAGCAATATCATTCTCTATTGATAGAATTGCCAGCGACTTTCTGGCAATTTTCACTACTATGCAATTTTCATTACTATACAATTTTCTATACTACTACTACACAATTTTCATTACTAAGTTTATAACAATAGCTAACAGTTATATGATACTTGTAAGGTGGCAAATACTGTTTCAAATGCTCATTTAATCATCACAACATCCACATTCTACAGATAAAGAAAGCCAGGCACAGAGAGGGTAAGTAAGTTGCCCAAGATCACACAGGTAGTAAGTAAGATGGCTGGAATATGACCTCAGGATCTAACTTTGGAGTTCTTGCTCTTACTGAGTGCACTCTCCTCCCATTCATGACATGTAAAATTCTGCAACATCCCTTCATCATTACTCAACACAGGAATAGGCAGGTTACCAAATTCATGCAATTCCCACCAGTCATTGGAAGGCATTTCCCCCCCAAAGTATGCAGAACCTGTAGTTTTTAAATTTGTTTATTGTCTTAACTATATTTCTACCATTTTAGTGCCTGTGTTTCAACTATCTGGGACAGGGAGAGGAGAAATGTTGAAACGTAGAGAGATACATTCTCCAAAGTGCTCTTTGAAGCCATCGTTTTACCCAGGGAACAGATTATGTTTCTAAATATCTCTCAGATCTGTCCTGGCCTGGAGTCGCAGGAGGGCTTTCAGAAGTTTATCTGGCTTTTTGGCAGGAAAAGAACAACCGTTAGCTTGGTTATGACCTTAAAAAATACTCCCTTGCTCTAAAGATGTTATTGACTCAATGATACTCTCTGTGTTACACCATCAAACACCCCCCTTGTCTGTAACAGTACAGAGTTTACTGTGTAATTGCTTCATTCTCCGTCCATGTGGAGCTACCCGTATGGTTCCACTATCCCATCTAGTCCCCCTGCAAACTTCTCTCCACACCATTTTGAAATGTAGCTGGTAATTTTCCAGCAAAGAAATTTCTCCTGCCCAGATGATGATGATCACATGGCAGACAACAGGGGCAGGCCAGTTGCCTAGCACTGAGATGGAATAAACATCACCCAGCTTCCTTTTCCCTCCCTCTTGAGAAGGAACGGTGATGTCTTGAGAGTCAGAAAGAAAACAGTGACCGAATAGACATGATTTATTGAAAAATATGCAGGGTTCTTCTGGGAGGTCTGTCAGGTATGTTGTCTCCTCAGGGAGCCCACTTCTTCCGACTGCTGTGCGCAGAGGGCCTGCATGCGGACGCCATTTTCTTTGGTACACGCTGTCTCTGGGTAGAAAGGCTATTTTTTGTTTAAGCTGAATATTCACCTGAACAAATAGCAGATGTTGATGAATATTAATTTGTGCTTAGATTAATGCTTCAAAGTGTCAATTTAATTTCTGTTTTACTATTCAGACCCTGATTGCAATGAGCTACTTCAGGATGTGGGGAGCATACACCTGGCTGGGGGCGGGGCTGGAGGTCTTCAGGGAGTGGAGCCGGGTCTTCGGGCTTTTATCTCTGCAATGGGACAATGCAGAGATAAAATTGTCTCCAGCGGAGTCCAGATGCCCCCTGGAAGTCCCCCAGCTGTGTACTGGCCCAGTGGAGAGCTGGCAGCTCCTGAGAGACAGAGAGAGGAGAGAGAGAGCAAGAGAGCCAGAGTAGAGAGAGAGCAAGAGAGTGGGAGTTGAGCAAGTGCTTAAGCTGAGTTCCAGACTCCGAGTGGGACAGGCTGCTGGGATTGCTGGGATGATCCCCTCATGGTCTCCTTTTAGCACATCTCAGTCCACTTCTGTTGCTGACTTTTTAGGTTCCTGAGAAGTTTAATTCTAATTTGTATCCTCCTAAATCCACATGGTGAGGGGAACAGAGCATGAATTTGAACTCAGGCATATTAGAGTTTAAATCCTTTGCTTTCCTGAGTCTCGGTTTCCTCACTCGTAATACAGAGTTAGTGAGGGGACTAAGTGTTATCTGTGTTCCATGCTTAGCAAGGGCCTGGCACCAAGTGGGACTCCGTAAATTAGATCCCTATCCTCCTTCCCTTCTGATGGATAAATTCATTCTCAAAGAGTTTAAAAATTTAAACTTTTCCTTATTGAGTTTTCAAATATCTCTCTGTTATGTATGTTTATTTCTTTACGTTGCTCAGTTTCCTGATTCTCTGACTTATTAGCAACTTGGTAAGTAAACATGACATACATGTTTCTATTTTGAGTTTTTCTGCCAGAATAATGTGAATCCCATGATTTTGCTTGTTTTTTAAATAATGCTTATGGCACCATGTTCCATATTTGTCTTGTTCTTCCTTGACCTATGTTGCTGCTTCTCTGTCAGCCGGACAAATAGAATGGATTTTTGTCTCATTGAGAATTGCCCTTTGCAGGCTGGGTGAGGTGGCTTGGCTGGGTGCTGTGGCTCATGCCTATAATCCCAGCACTTTGGGAGGTCAAGGCGGGTGGATCACCTGAGGTCAGGAGTTAGAGACCAGCCTGGCCAACCTGCTGAAACCCTGTCTCTACTAAAAATACAAAAATTAGCTGGGCGTGGTGGTGGGCGCCTGTAATCCCAGCTACTTGGGAGGCTGAGGCAGGAGAATTGCTTGAATCCAGGAGGCGGAGGTTGCACTGAGCTGAGATCGTGCCATTGCATTCCAGCCTGGGTGACAGAGCAAGACTCCATCTTGAAAAGAAGAGAACTGCCCTTTGCAGACTTAACCTCGGTCCTACCTTGGACTTGCCTTACCATTCTGCCTTCTTGTTCTTTCCACCTTGCACACTCCATCCCACAGACCCTAGCTTGTCGGCACATTACTAACTGCAATCAAAAGAATCCTGAGTAATGCCAGTGTATAGGATTTTAAAGTCTAGAGTTTCTACGGTAGAAACTGTTGACGGCAGGTTTCAGCATGCTCTGTGGATTCCCACCTCCCTCTAGTTCTCTTCCTGTTATGTTTGTTTCCCAGGGCTGCGATAACCAAGTACCAAAACCTGGGTGGCTGAAAATAACAGAAATTTATTATTTCATAGTTTTGGAGACAAAGTCCAAAATCTCAGTGTTGACGGGGCCATGCTTCTTCTGAAGTCTTTAAAGGAGAATACCTTCTTGCCTCTTCCAGCTTCTAGTGGTGGCCTTCAATCTTTAGTGTTCCTTGTGTCTCTGTCTTTCCATGGTGTTATCCTTGTGTTTTCACATCATGTTGTGTCTGTATTTGTGTCCAAATTTCCCTGTTTTATGAGGATAGTAGTTATGTTGGATTTGGTTTCATCCTAGAGTTAAATTGGTTACATCTACGGGGCCGTTATTTCCAAATAAGGTCATATTGTGAGATAGTAGTTATATCTGAGCTCAGGACTTCTTGCTTCAAGTCTGTTCATCAGAGCAAACTTATATTGATTCAGCAGCGACCTTCATTTTATCTTCAATTGTTAACATCTCTACCCTTGACCCTAAGAAATCCTGTCTGTCCTTGATATTCTCTCCGTTAACATTCTCTGGTCCCTCTGTCTTTATCTTTGGGATTTCTGCGACTCTGGCCCCTGCCCTCACTCTCTGAGCAGCAGTTTTGGCTCTTGCTGGGTGCTTTCTCCTGGGCTCTTCTCTTTTGTTTCCTTGCAAGAACATTTCTTTTCCTTGCCCTTCTCCCTTCTATCTCACTCTCTGTTATTAATTCTTTCAACACTGCAGCATCCTGGTCCCCGATATCATTCACCTATATTGAAAACTGGCTGGTAGTTTCCATATTCTTTGTTTATACATCAGCACAATTCTTTACCACTTTTTCTTGACACTCCTCTGTTTTTTTCAAAGCAACACACATAGTTTCCAGTGTATTTTAAATAGCCTTAAGACACCACTTTATACTGGAACACAGCCCAGTTTCCTACTTCTGCTGCTTCTTCCAAACATGACATGGGTCCGCTGGGGGATATTGCCTGTTCTTTCCCAAGCAGTGAGAGGTGCCCTCTTGCTAATGTTATGGCATGGTGCTTTTTCAACAAAACTTAAGGAGTCTAGATGGCTGATCTTTTAACAAGCTTAGTGCCCTTCCTGGGAGAGTTACTTGAACTCATTTGAAAGATTACCTGGCTGATACTTCTGCCTGAAAGAATAACTAACCTAAAGTACCCTAGGTAGGTGAAAACCTAGTCTATATTTAAAACCCCCAGAAAAGGAGAATGAGTTTAACTCCCTTGATTAAAAATAATCCTCAATTTCAGGGCCCGATATTTTCTTCTGCTGTATTGTACATACATATGTTCTGAGTGATCTGATCTTCTTTATCATTTTTTAGGTACTATTTGTGTGCTGGAAAATGTCAAATCTAATTCCCTTGGTAATGCCTTGCCCAAGCTCCAGATCGATATTTTTAGCTCTCTGCCATGTACGTGGGTGTCCTGAAGGCATTTCACACTTAGCATTGCTCCCTCCCTGCTGCCGTCTTCCTCTTGTAGTCTGGATTTCAGTTACCAGCCTCAGTCACATCCTCCATCTCCCAAGTTATACAGCATTATCCCTGGTTGTTTCTCCAATCAGTTAGTGAACTCTACCACTCCAGCAGAGGAGGACTATTTCTGTTGTATTTCTGTTTTCTTCTCATCCTCTTCCTCAACATTTCTCGCTGAACTCCAGCACCTCTACCAGTCTTCCTCTCCAGTCCCTCTTCATCCCAATCCAAGTATACTTCTTTTGAAAAAGTAAAGTTGACCATGTAGCTGTTTTTTCTTTGAAACTCTGCTGGTTTCCCATTGCCTGGGATCAATCTCTGAACTCCATATGTTGTCATTCTGGGCTTCTCAAATCTGACTCTGACCTTCTCATCCTTCAGGCTCTGGCCCTTTACTCTCTCTCCACCCTGAAGCGTACGAAACTTTGCCAAACCAAGCCTCTCATTGCATCTTCGAAACAACATACCCCCTTCATGCCTTTGCAGTTTTGCATATACTTTTTCATTTGCTTGTGATGCCCTTTCCTCCCTTCTTTACCAGACAAATTCCTTCTCGCCTTTGAGACCTAGTGCAATGTGAAATTCCTGGTAATAGTAGTAATAGAATTCCCCTTGCTAGAGTTGATGTTCCTCTGTACTGCATCCCATGGTACTTTATTCACAGTTGCATGGTACTACTCTGCACTTTATAATTTCCTTTGACTCCTTCATTAGACTATGCACTCGCCAACAGCTAGTACACAGCTAGTACACAGTGCCTGGTGTTCAACAGGAAAGCCATGAATGTTTTTTAGTAATTGAAAGCATTATAGAATCTAACTCAACTCTATGTCTTTTTATCTTTTTACCTTCCTTCCCTTCTTTTTTTCTCCCTTTAGAGAAAAATCTGAGATAGTATTTCAAAATCTACATTGTACAAACTATCAAAAAAAAAACTAGCTGAGGTTTTAAAAAAGGTAGTGACAATGGATACTGCTCAGCCATAAGAAAGAATGAAATCCTGTATTTTGCAGCAACATGGACAGAATTGGGGGCCATTATCTTAAGTGAAATCACTCAGACACAGAAAAACAAATACCATGTGTTCTCACTTGCCAGTGGGAACTAAATAATGTGTACCCATGGACGCAGAGTGTGGAATGATGGACAGTGGAGGCTTGGAGGGGTGGGAGTGAGGTGGGAAGGGGCTGGATGATGCGAGGTTGTTTGGTGGGTACAATGTGCATTGCTGTTGTGTTGCAGACACCAAAGGCTCTGACTTCACCATAATTCAATGTATCAGTGTAGTAAAGTTGCACTTTTACCCCATGAATACAATCACATAAAAAATAAAATAAGACTTGAAAATCAAATCAAATTTTAAAAAAAAGGTGGTGGGATCAAGTGAGGGATGGAGTTAGTGTATCTCCTGCCTGTCTTGAGTAGCCCAGCACTAGAGATGGCTGCAGAACTTTTTTTGAGCTTTCCAGCAGCACAAACAGAGGGTACAAGATCAGTTTATGCAATTATTATTATCTATGTAACAAAATAACTCATTGCTCTGGGAAAGAGCAACCACTCTAAATCCTGAGACCTGAGAGAAGTTTCTCATGAGGGCACATGTGATTTAGTGAACACTGCCATCTTCTCCCTCTGATTTCCTGGCTGAGCTATGGAAAAATAGTATAATATTTGTCCAGTCTCTACATTAATGAGTTTTAATGAGGAAATAAATATATTTTCTTCTGGGTTGTGTCTGATGGACAG